CCAATTTTCTGCTAATACAAAAACGGAGGAAGGACTTGAGGAAGAACTGAGGGGTTAAGATAGAAAATAAAATGACTGCCAGTGTCAGTGCTTTGCAATTTTGTTTTTACTAAAATTTCCTTCACATTACCTTAGAACACATACAAACAACTTTATTGTAACACTATACTCAAAATATTAAGCTAGTATCATTTAGCAAGAGGCCTTTATAAAGCGCTTCATCCAGAATCCAATTCAATGGAAAGCACCCTATGATAGGAAATTGCAGAAAGTGTGAATGGTTTGCCTGCAGAAGATACACAGAATGCACGGGACTGTGACAATGATGGGGAAGAACCACAGCATCTCAATCTAGTGCTTCTGTTGACGACCAGAATAGAGGTTTAACGTCTGCAATTCTCAGGCTGCGCTCTATACGTTAACTTTCCAATTCCTTTCCTTAGTCAAAGATTAAGAGTTTATATGAACCCTGGCCTAACAGTGCAAACCTATACAGAGGTTCATTATTACTAGAGTTACAGATTAAATACAGTGCAGTCTATAGAAATTATATCATACATGTATCATTATATATATCTTGGGGTTATCACCAATATGTTTATGGGTTCATTTTTTTTTTAATTTTTAACTATGAAAGTATCAAGCACTGTGGGGTATGACGTGAGTTTTGTATCAGGCAAAAAGCCTTTCATATTTTTATTTTTTTATATAAGATTATAATCAGTAGATAACGCACGACAATTAATGTATGGCCTTACTGTATGTTGTTTGTAATGAACAACAGGCTCCAAGGAAATCGGAACCTGGGAAAATGACGGAAATGAATTTCGTTGCCATTGATCAATTAATTTACTCAAAATGGCATAAACAGGCAGTGTTTCAAAAAATTAGATGGAATTTCAGAGAATATAAATCAATCCTGACGTAAATCATTGCATGCTTGTCAAATTATCTCAATGACGGCTTATAATGGGTGAATAGGGAATAGATATTCACAATCGTGTTTATATATGGTGCATACCAGCACTTCCGTCTGTTTTACGGGAATATTTGTATTATAACATTTGATACAGCATTTCTACACGATAATGACAAAGTCTTTGATACTGAAAACAATGGAATTTACTGACAGAAGTTTCATTACATTATTTTAACTGATACTTGTTTCATTTTCTTTTCAATAATTACACAAATTTAGATAAAAGCTACGGGTGATACTACAGAAAAATATATTTAAACTTACAGAAATATCATACATTTTTTATCAGAATTTTTTAAAACAAAAAATTGAATTTCCTTTTAATATCAATGCTGAGATATATTGATTATGACCATAATTTCTTTTTTGTTTTGTTTTCATTACTGATAATAATCATGATTATTTTTACTAGTATTTTTGTATACATGCATAATGTTAAACAATTGAAATATGTAATCTTTTCAACACTTAAACCAATATATTTGAAGCCATGCAAGGAATTCTGAAAAACATTCTCGGAAACTTAACACAAATTTGATTACTCTAGATAATGGTATACAATTAGCTTTTCCATGAATAATGATTTGGAGGAAATCATTGAGATAGTCCATTGACGAAGTGACCTCCCCAGTGGCTGTGATGATGTGGTGTTTATCAGTGGATGGCCTGATAGCCTCATCACTCCTCATCTTCACGCACGCCTGCAGGCAACATCACAGGCTCAAAATAATAGTTTACAAACAATTTCAAAAATAGGTACGATGGCAGGTGATGATCTATTAAACAAACTGACACATCCAATCAATACACTAGTTGTTATAAAAACTCCGGTAGTTATTCTAAAGGTTCTGTGTAAGATAAAAACTATACTATTGCTGATATCAAGCAATCGGGTCAAATCAGTTTTCCTCTCGAAAAGGCAGGGCAAGATATAAGTTGGATGTGCTAAGATCAAATTTCTACAGTATACTGTTAAACACATTCACCCCTGAAGACACATTTGAACTCTTCCAATTCAAAGGTTGGAATAGTTCATTATGAAACTTCAGGGGTGAATGAGTTAAGCAAATACTTCATGAACTTTCGCAGATTAAGACCAGCACATTATCCACCACTCAAAATAAGAAATAAAGTTATAATCAGAGAAATGGTTTCACAAGTTGAACATTTTTATATTTTCAGACAAGCATTTGCTTAAAAGGAGGGATGGTTGCACTTAAATACGTTGATAGGAGCTGGGTATAGGTCTACAATATATTATGGGATGGTCACATAACATGGGCCCAGTCATATCTAAAATCTGCATTTTTGAAAGGAAACACTTTAGTTGCCTAATTTCACATAAGCCACAAACAATCTTCAATCTGAATATACCAACAATCTGTAAAGGCGTACAAGAAGGTAAGGGCAAGGATCAACTGGAAAATGTACAACAGTACAAGACAACCAGTCTCTAATCTGTAAATAAGACTAGACATTACTTCTTACTTCAGCGAGAGTGCCAATATTTACACCTCAACATTGACTGTAAGAGGTTCTGCAGGCCTAGCAGTAGTTATGTATGAAATTATTTAAATCAGAAATGGTTCTAAATGGAAGTGACGACAGTATTTCTGTCCCAAATGTACTTTTCACAAGTTACCTGTATTGCACAGGTAATTTTTGTCTCTGAGAAACTTACACGATGCACTGTAATCTTCTATTGTGACACCTACTAATCTGTTATAGGAAAGAGTTAATGTAAAAGATGTGCGTCTCCACTACCGGTGATCAAACCTGCCACTCGTTACTCTTCAGTCTGATGCTCATCTGCTGACCAAACAGGAAATTTGCTCCAGTCAGACCAATATATATACTGTCATCACCTTCATAAAATGTGTTACAATCAGTTCGGAACATCAGCTTAGCAGAAAAAACGTTTCCAATTTACCAGCTCAAACAATTAAAACAAATCATCTAGGAGGGGGCTTTATCTAGATGTAAGAAACCAGGAGATTTTGCCATTTTGATTTGTCATGAGTCTCAGAGGGAATTTTGGTCTGTATTTTCAAGCCATCACATCAGAGAGGAGCAAGGAAAGTATCGGCTAAGCTAGTTTACTCAGAAACCATTATAGAGGCCTTCCATCTCTAGAGAGATCTGTCTCAGTCAGCGCCGCACAACAAGTGTAGAAAAGATTTAGTAACGAACATAAATATTTATAGAAAACACATCTTTGTAATTCAATCTAACTGTGATGAGGGGGGACCCTGGAGAGGACGCTCACTTTGATAACATCTTTTTTCCTCCCTCCTAGGGAACGTTACAACAGAACATCAAGTCTATCTAAAATGTTCTACGATGCTATAATGATCAATTCAAATGAGCGGATCAAACAGCCATTTTGAAGACAAAAAAATATTTCCTCGCTATTAGCTGTAAGAGTAGGTTATTTTCCATTCTCCAAAGTGAGAAGAAATATTTCTTCCTACCCGTTTTCTAATCATACAGCCAGTTATAAGCCTCAATTTCATGACACCAAGACGAGGCTAGGATGTACATTATTTTGCTTTTACCCATTTTTTTTGTATTATCTTGATTGCATTTCTAGCTAGAAGCATAAACTGCAAGTTGATATTACAGTGTCATTCTGAGAAATATTAGTCACCATGGCGATATGAGTAGAGAGGAATTGTATGTCCTAGGGATTTGTAATTAGAGGGAGAAAGACTATACACACCTACACAGTCAAACCCAAAGGACATCATTTCAAATTGTCTGTGAAAAATTTCAAATTTGTTCCTTTTAATTCTTCCTCAGCCTAAAAGCTTTTCACAAGCCTAAGAACTGAAAAATTGAACTTTTGACAAACGATTACTGTCCGAAGACAACATGTACAACCTATAAACATTAGTTATGTATACCCAGGTGCAGAAAACAACTTCTGTACAACCGTGTGCCCTGATCAATATTTAATGATGACAATTGCTTTAGTTTTGTGAAATGTGCATGCACTGTAGCTATGTGCAGGCTATTACAAAGCTGGTGTATGCTAAATGAGTTTTGCTGGAACGTCTTCAGGGGTCCTTAGGAGACAGATATAACAGGTCAAAGATACACACCATCTTACAGCCTTCAGGGGTCCTTAGGAGACAGATATAACAGGTCAAAGATACACACCATCTTGCAGCAAACTACAATCAGGATTTTTTTCACTTTTTTTGTGTAATTTTCATTAGTCGGATGTTGAGAGAAGCATTTACACTTGCTCCATTAGGGCAGAGTAAAGTGCATCTCAATTAGCCAAGTATTCGCATTGATAGGGTCAGTATCTGGCCTTACCATTATCCTCAGAGACATAAAATTAATGAAAAATCTACAAAATAGCCATTAGCTTCCCACCCTGTGACCATATATGGACATAAACTGCCTTTAATCTAAATCGTAATGGAGCTTGTTGGTCTCCAGCGTTTTAAACATGATCACCGAGATGCTTTGTCACTGATATGGTAACTTTCCAGGGTTTTTCCTCACAGATTATATATTTCCTTGTCACTGTGCAGAAAAATTATTATCACCTCCGATCGATAACTATGAACTCCTTTTACAGAATGAACCATAAAGCTGAAGTAGATTTTCTTAGTCATGAATGTAAGTTTCTGCCTCAGGGGAAAAGTATTTGCTCCGCAACCAAATATTTAAGTCATTCTACCCTGAAGATACATTTGAACCCTTCCAATTCAAAGGTTGGAATAGTTCATTATAAAACTTCAGGGGTGAATGAGTAGCTTAGAACAGGAAAGAAACAAATATTAATCCACCTGAAGGTGAAAAATGAAAATATCATGATATCACTAAGTTGAAGAATCAAGTCTTTTTTCCCAAAGGTGCGTAATTCAATTTCTGTAACTGCACAGACCTTTATAAGCCAGTATTTGTCCCGACACATTGACTTTTATTTTATGGAGTCAGAAGCATGATTTTACAGAATGTATAAATTTTATTCTGAAAATATTTTAATTTCTTTTAATTCTATTTTCAGCCAATTCAGTCAACAAATACCATGGTTTTCTGTACAAGCAGAAGGATGACACCAAGGTCCTACCTATATATGACCTAAACGGCTGGATAGCAGGCATACAAGCTATGGTAAGGAGCTATTACACACTCTGTAAAACTGTATCACAGTTCAGTCTGGCAATTAATTCCATCTTCCAGAATTCCAAAAATCTGAAACTGCCAATACCTAGCTAAGTTATTTCATATAAGAGTAATCATATTTGTTAAATGTTTGAATCTGTGTGAGGGTACGACATGACAGTGTGAGTGTGTGTCCATGTGCCATTAAATTAACTCATTCACCCCTGAAATTTCATAATGAACTATTCCAACCTTTGAATTGGAAGAGTTCAAATGTGTCTTCAGGGGTGAATGTTTGCAGGAACTTGCCCCCATACTTTCTTAAAAAGCAAAAGTTTTCTTATGATTGAAAAATAAGGAGTACATGCAATTTCGTATGATCGAATGTAGAGAAGATTAAGAAGTTTTAAATTTCAAACTGATTGTGTGTTACACCTTAATTTAACAGGTGTGTTATACCAATGTCACTACCATCAAGTACCAATGGAGGAAAATCAAATCTTTCTTTAAAATATCTTTAATTAACTCACATATACACATTAGATGAAGTGAATCTTGTAATGACCGGATATTACTTGCGAAAATGTTTTTGGAAACATCTCGCGTGTAAGTGATCCTAATGACAATACACTACAAAGAACTAGCCAATCACCTCTCAGAGAGTTTAAACGAAACTAATCTGATCATGTATTATTGAAGTCTTGTCATAGCTTTGATGGACAATGCTAGTCATATTGGCTATACATGTCTCCTACAGAAATTACAAAAGGCTTTTCAGATCCTGATGAGTCTGCTATGATAGTGCTGGACCAGACAAGCATGGCCCCTATTGAGTGCTATCATCACTTCCTGTCTGTTACCACAGTGAGCAGGTGTTATCCTCTGTGATGGACAACACACCACTTGACATGATCTATTCCTATTTACATTTGTCCACCTTTCTCATTATTTGAACTCATTTTTATGCAATTAATTCCTGTCTCCTAGGTTGTTGTGTTGACTTACACTATACAGATAACACCATGGGCAGATGTCCCCCTCCCCCCAAGTGAAACATTGACCCTCCCCTCGTTAGCTTCTCTAAACATCCATCCTGCCATCTCTCACCCATTACAGCTGTGTTTATATCCACCGAGTTTACACATAATTCACCCTGTCCAAAATATGTTAGATTTACTAATAAACTATGTTTATGATTTAAACTATTTATCAAGTTATCAAAAATTTTGTATCTTCTGATGATATAAATCAATATGTCATTTTTTGCTAATGTGTTAAAATTCCTTCCTATAGGAATACAGTGGATGATCGTTTAATTCTCTGTTGTTACAAACTGTTTAGAGATCTCTCTTCCATTAATTTCAAATGGTGAAATAAATCCCGATTTCAAATTCATATGTTGATTACAAAATTATTCAAAACCTAAATGTGATCCATATTTCATCCCTACTAGTCTAATGAGATTCTTATGAACATTTTCCATGTTCTTTAGTAGAATCCATATTTCAAGTTGTACACTGTACAGCAGTATCTTGCTCTGCCTGTGTGTAAATGATGGAGCCTAAATGATGTGGGTAAAATGTAAAATCATACAGCATTAGCTCTGGCTTTCCTAATCATTCACCTACAGCTTTGTCATCAAAACCAAATTGATGGCAGAGAGGAATGGAAACAGAAAGGAAAAAGACCCCCTAACACAACAGCTGCCTTTCTTAACTTAAAACAGTGTTGTTTTTATAAGATTTGTCAAGAACTTTCATAAATAAATTAAATGAATTAAGAAATCTAAAATATTGATATATTATCAGCCCAACACACATTTGTTTATCGGGACAATCCTTGCTGCTGCTGCTGTATTCTAGTGGCCTTCTCTCTATCGAGCAATCTCTCAAATTGAATTTTCTGTTCCAATTGCTTGAGAAAATATCCATGAAAATAGCCTGTAGAAAAATTTACATTTTAATCAAGAATTTTACTGATTTTCTGGGAAATTAAACAAACGAGTTACTGAGAGTCTTGTTTCCCTCCAGCTATAGGCTTTTTTACATTAATTTAAGTCCTTCTAACTATATTATCTAATTTGAATTTTTTCACTGTAAACCATTATTACCATGGAGAAGCTTTAAACCATTATTACCACAACGTTTTTTTGTAAGAATTGGATTTCATATTCCAGATTATAACATCTTTTTTACATGAAAATTCTCAAACTCAATCTAATAAAGATTTATACAATTTCTATGTTTACTTTTTAAACACATTATAAAGGACTCAAGAGTTTAGATATTTTTAATATGTACTTCTAGGAGAGGACAGAAATCATTGTTTAATGAAATTATACAACTTAACTTCTCCAATTCAGCTTCAGGATAAAAAAAATCTGATAAACTTGTTAAAACTCAATATATCAGAAATGACATTTCCATTTGAAAGGAATAAAAAGTAGATATAACATTATAATGGCTTTGGTTTGATTGGAGCTCTATTTGATTTAAAGACATTTTATTGGTACATGATATACAATGAAATTGCATGGGAGAGTTCCCAGCTTAATTATGTATGTCCTCTCCCATTCTTCTGAAGGTTTTATGTCTTTACAACAGTAAACTGTAATGTCGCATTACAATGGTTAGCCATTGGAAGGAACCCCAGCTAAACCAAACCCTGTACTACGAGTGATACGAGACCCGACACCCGCGGAAATGTCGGTGGAGAGTTAACAGTGGTTAGAATGATCCTATCAGTGTAGCTGTATAAATACTACAAATATGCTGGGAAGTAAAGTCAAATTAAACTGGATTGTAGTTCTTAAATGCAATCAATGCTAATCCTTCTAGTTTTACCCCTAAAAGATCAAAGCCACAAGACTTTGAATTCCTTTAAAAAATATATATATATGAAAAGACAACCGTCTTTAAATGTTAAAAGTAGCAGACAAACTGAAGAGTTTGTCCAGTAATGTAAATTTTCCTCCCGAAGATTTCATTACGATTCAGTCAAAAGGTAAACCATATTTTATTCTGTAAAAAAATTAATGCGTTCCTCTTAGCCAACCATAGCATGACAGCAGCCCATTCACCTTGCTTTCACACTTGCTAAACCTAAGTTTGAATAGCTTTTCACACTTTATGTAGCTTCTGCTGCAGAAGGCAGATGAGTCCCTAGATAGGGAAAAATACCAATAGGAACACACTATTTCCGACATCGATACTACCGCCCCTTTGGACAGTTTACGTATTCAGCAACCGCAACCGTGAGAAGCCTACAGGAGCCGCAATCTTCAATCACACAAATTAATTAGAAAGCGTATCGTACACACTGAAATATACATATAGCACCCCTGGGAACAAGATTTCATTTTGTTTGAAATTAAAGTCTATCATTGCAAACAAAAAAGTCAACAGGCAGCAACCATACACAAAGCTGCCGACACTTCTACCTAAAATTATCATGACTACTCAATTTTTGGCATATCGATCACCGATATCTATCTTTTCCCTACAAACCCACGGAGACGTAAAATTTTCATTTTCCTAACGACGAAATGGACATGAAATCAAAACGGGATGATACATCAAGTACCTAAATGACCAAAACCAGTTTTTGCACATCTGTGTTGAGAAAAAATACACAAATTGTCGTAGTTGATGTCTATAAATTCTGTACGTAACGAAATCAAACAGAGGCAGCCAAAGAACTAGTGCAAATGATGTCCATTATGGGAGTATAAAGCACAAAAAACTGCATGCCTAAACTAGAGGCTGTCAAATCAGATCGCCGCAGTAATACAGACAGTGACTTATCAAACATCACAGCAACACGAAACACCCATGCATCACCGGCCACAATTATTCCGTGATTAGACTTTATTTTTGCATCAAGTTGTAGGACCTGTTCCATTACAAAACTAGATAGTTTTCTGTGATATGCTGTAATTGTGCTGTGATTGTTCATAATTGAGAACAAATAATGGATGAGAAAAGAAAAAAGGCAGTATATCCTTCGATGTATCAAATTTTCGAAGAAATATCACCAAATATAATTTCAGATTAAGAGATGTTTTTGTTGTGATTATCAAATTTGCATGCACATGATCTAAATCAAGATTTAGGATAACATGTTCTGTAAATAAGTATTCCTCTTTTTTTGATAATTTGTATTACAATTTGGGTGATTCTGCTCTACTTTAGCCTAAGAGCACAACCTGTTCCTAGCTCTGCCCAACATTGAGCAGTCCACCTTCCTCTGGGATATAAAAACTTGCCTTTCAAAAATAGTGCTTTGGATACTCATTTCCACTATTCTAAAGCTTGTATTCGGGATGATAATTTTATTTCAATTTATTTTTTTATCAAATTTGTTTTCTCTGGAATCCAAATCTGCACACTAACAAAGTTTTGCTGTAGCTGATGTTCTTCCAGTCTACTGTAAACAGATCAACTCCAAATTGACCACAAATGATTCCCTTCAATAAACAAATGTAATAACCTGCCACATTGACCAGACAAACGAGGCAAATCAACCATACTGGTCTTATTTGTATCCCCTTCAATCGCTGCAAGTAAATATTCATAACGTATTTATCCGAATAGAAAGCAGAATGTTAGCTGACCACTTGGGGCTAAAATAACTGGTCCTTCTTCATATTAAGTTAATTATTCTCCTCCTGAAAATCCATATTTACACCACCCTGCCTTTATTGATCAGAAAGGTTTTCTCATGTTCAGGCAGACATAACAGATGAATCAGTGAATACAATTTATCCTGAGATGCTTTGTTTTAATACCTGTTTATCAGCTTGAGTACTCATGTTCAATGAATGTTTATGTCAATAATTACATATAGTAATAAACCTAATGCATTCTGCATGAAAAAACACAGATCATTTCACAAATCCTACATATGACAGAGACGAAAAAGCTAGCACAGACCCGTTCACAAATCCTATAATATGACAGATATGAAACACTACAGATTACTATTTTGTGAAGTTTGCTACTGTCTGCACT